TCTTCTTGCTGCAGCCCCGGGCGAGTCATAACGATACGCACCCGGCCTTAACACACACCTCACTCATCTTTCGAGGGCCGGGGGGGGGCTATTTTGGTTTTCTCTTATGACTCGATTGTGCGGAGCGCGGTTCGGACTGTATGTGTGTGTAATAACGATGAACGCGCTATCTGCTTGTTGCTTGGTGTCAATATAAGTGTGTGCATGTGTTGAGAATGGACGGAGAGTCTGCTGTATTTGCTGAGTGTCAAATTGTGTGTGTGCGCTGCTGCGTGGAGTTGTTATCTTGATGGTGAAGTTAATTATTAACTTGGGAGCGTCGGGTATCTTGCGCTGTATTATTTGTGGGTTACCTTGTGTGATGGGCTTAATTGGAAAAAAATATTTTTTTTTTTTGGTGTATTGTGCTGCGAGGTGCTGTGTGCGATGCGATTGTTGCAAGAGAGAGAATAATTGTGTTGTTGCTGCAAAGTTACGACAGGATTAATGGTGTGTTGGTTGCCTGCAGATCTGCTTGCTATTGTGCTCAAATGTACGCGTGTGATCGCGATATGCTGATTGCATGTGCTGTTATACCGTTCTGTATGGTTATGGGGTGCGATGCAGTGGTTGACTATTGGAATTGAGATTGTTATTATATTGTGCGTACCTGTTGGAAATTGGTAACAAATTCGAGGGGGACCCAAATATTTGGTTGTATGGTTGTTGTGCACACGAGATTGCGTGTATATTATAGAGGGGGACCATAAAATTTGGTTGTATGGGTGTTGTGCACACGAGATTGCGTGTATATTATAGAGGGGGACCCAAAAATTTGGTTGTATGGGTGTTGTGCACACGAGATTGCGTGTATATTATAGGGGTAATTGAGCTTTTTGAGAATGAGGGTGCGCGATGACGCCGTTGTGGGTGGCTTAGATGTTAATGCTAATGGGATCGTAAATTGGCGCCAAGTGGCGTCGCGTATTCGGTTGATCGCATGCAACCACGAGTTGCTTGGCGAGTTGGGTTGTGTAACTAATGTGGTTGGTAAAATATTGGTTAAAAATTCGACGATATGACAGCTGTGCGCAGCAAGCTGGGGCTGTGCGTCTATCGTTGGTGGGGTTGTTATAACGTGACGGGGGATGCGTCTTGTGACCCCCAGCTGGGGTGCACGAATGGAGAAAACTGGCCACGTGTTCGCACGTTGGGCCGCCATTTTGCGCGCACGCGGGGTATGGCGACGATGCGCTTTGCGGAAAGGGCCGCCATTTTGAGTGCGCGCGAGAGATTGCGCGAACGCGCTGGGCGAAGGGGGACGCCATTTTTGAGCGCGCGGGAAAAACCGGGGTGGGGCAAATATTCCATCTGTTATGCCTGCCATTGTTGATTGGGTGATGCACGAGTTGTGGTCACATCGGCCTATGGCTGATGGCTGACCTGACAGCCCGGAGGCGAAACCTCCGTGGTATGTCTTAAACTAATGGGCCATGTGCTCATATGGCTCGGGGAGTCATGGTTCAGTTGTGCGGGGGCAGACTGAACCTGGTGTGCCGGGGGCTCACGGGATCTGGGTTAGGGTGTTATTGTCTCTATAAGATAACATTGCCCCGTGGGGGGAGTACAGGGGGTCTGGCATTGCTGGGGGATGAACCTTCCCTGGGCTATAAAGCATCGGACTATACGAGGCTGGTGTGTGTCCATCTCTGATGGGATAGTAAGGGAGGAGCGTGGCCGAGTTGCTGCTCATCCCCGAAATTGCACTAGCTGAGAGTATGGTCAGTGGATGTTGCTGTGGGTTGACGACCACGGTGGGGGTTAGGACGAGTTAAACATTACCGCTGGGGAGCGTGGCTCTCTCCACGCGAGGGTGTGCGATTAGGCGTTTTGTTGGGTTGCTGAGAGTGACCGTGGGTACATGCTGTGTACGTGCGATGTCTGTGCTGGTCCTCAAGGGAGGACTGCTGGTGGGTAAGAGCAGAAAATTTTGTTGTTGTTGTTGTCACGTGTAAATAATATTGTTGTTAAAATGTAAATACTGGGGCATCCATTGCGTTATTTTGGGTATTTATGGGGAGTTTTTTTTTAAGCGGGCTGGATTTACATCATCTCCACTACCCTGAGGCCGGTTGGCTGTCGTGTACGACATGCGGATGTGCGTTGTTGTGCTGTGCCTCAGGGGATTGGATTCTCCTTCTCGTCACAGATTCTTCAGCTCCCGTCGCACTGGGTGTTACCTGGTGTGCTAGCTGGATGAGGACTTGAAGGAGCAATTGAGCGCCGTTCGTCGTTCTGCTCTACCACTTGCTCTTTGACGTTGGACTTGAGCCGAGCGGATGGAACTGCAACATGGACACGCACTAAAACATCACATTTCTGGGTTGTGCGCGTTGGCCGTTCTTGCGTGTCAGTTGCCGTTTTTGTTCATTGTGCCATTCTTATTCTTGTTGATGTTGCGCGGAGGACAGGCCGGTGTTCTGTTCCAGTTCCTGATACCTCCCCTTTCGTTGCTTGTGTTGTTGTTGTTATAATCTCCGTTGTGTCTGGGGGACTCCTGATTGTGATGCCTTCGCCCGCATTATTTTGTTCTGTTTCAGCCGAGGACGGCTGGGATTTTCTCTACGGGGGAGGGTAGTGTAATGCGGGCGTAAATGGGCGGGGCGGATATGACGATCCGAGAGGGAGGAGTCAGGGTGACGTGGGGGAGAAGTTATAGCGGGGAGACAGGAAGCTATCTGGGTCAGTCGGGGGAGTGAAGGGTGGTGAACACGTTGGGTGGTCGCCGTGCCTCAGCCTGGTGGCTGAGGGGCTCATGACGGCGCCAGCCAGCGGGGTGGAAGAGAGAGTGGAGGATTGAGGTAGGAAGTGGCGAGATAGCCACAGAGGCCACGAAGGGCTGAGGTAGGAAATGGCGAGATAGCCACAGAGGCCACGAAGGGCTGAGGTAGGAAATGGCGAGATAGCCATAGAGGCCACGAAGGGCTGACATTGGGAGGTGGCGAGATCGCCACGCACGGAGGAACAGGGAGCAGAGATGGAGCTGCTGGGGGAGCAGCCAGAGGGCTGTACCAAGAGCCTGCAGCGGAGCTGCAGGAGCGTGGAAGGCTACGGGAGCGAAGGCAGATGTGGGGCTGCCAGGGAGAGAGTCTCAGGAGGAGTGCCGTGTGGGAAGGAGAACGCGAACCCCAAATAAAGGACACGGAGTCAGCAAGAAGTGTCTGAGTCCTTTTATTACATATATAAGGTGGGAAAAAAACGAATACTGATTTCACAAAATAGTCACAGATGGTGTTGCGGTTAGAGTGCTTGATGACAAGGCCGTGAGTTGAAACCCCGTCAAGGGTTGAATCAGTCTGCCATCATGTTTTCCTCCCCGCGCCTGAGGGTTGATAAAACAGTAACAACGTTGTGAGATGTTGACAATAATTACTGGAGTCATCGTATATGGGGTAGACCAGCACCTGCCATAGGAATGTGGAATTTCCTAAACTCGGTCAGGGCTGACAAAAGAACAGCACAGAAGATGCTGCCTCGTTGCTCGTCAATTACGCGGTGAGATAATATGCCTCGACTTCATAAAACAGCAACAGAAAACAGCAATCCTTTACGTAAAAATTCCTGCCAATTACAAAATCAACACTCTTTAAACATGTTGTTCAAACAACACTTCCTCACATCGAATATATAAAGCACAGCTTATACAGATACATAACAACCGATGAGCGTAAAATACGTGTTAAAAACATCACTCCCAAGCAAGCACCAGGTAGGACTCACACAAGCCATTCATGTCAACTCAATGTTTCTGTGAATGGGAGCCGATGTGTGTGTGATGCCCAATGTGGGGAGCGGTGGTGCAGCGGTTGCGCTACGAACCCGGCGACCCGAGTTCGATTCTCGCTCACTGCCATCACCAGTGACGATTATCTGAACCGGTCCTGGGCCTCCCTTAGGTCGACTCAGCCTTAAATGAGTACCTGGTGCGGTGTGTAAACATCGCAGCTGGGGAGATAAAGGCGGCCGGGCGTGGTGCTGGCCACCCACCTCTCGTGTGCTGTGCCGGCCTTCATAGGTGCTCGCGAACAGCACTTGCCCCTACAGTCTGTTAAGGCTATACGGGGAATCTTTGTCTGTGATGCCCAATGTTGGCTCTCTGTAACCTGGAACAAATATCTGCCAACCCAACACTAACAGTTGTAAAATGCGTTACTTCAGTGTCACACACACACACAGAAGCTCGGATATAGCCTGCCCCTGGTCAGCATAGACTGCATCCTGCCTCACGCATTCATCGAATGTGCAGCACAGTTAAAAATAAACACCTTTATTTGGCTCGCCTGGTTTTTTTTATGCATCACGTGCAAACCACCAACATTACCATTCATAATTGATCATTTTTTTGGGGGGGGAGGGAATTGGGGGGGGGGGTCACACCGCGCGAGTAAAATGTGTGTTGTCCACCCTCCTCCACCCGACACTGACTTGCCAGCGACACACGACTCACCCACCCGAGTCGGGTGCAAGCAGAATGTACGACACGCGCACAAATTATTTACGCGATTTGAGCCGCAAATTTAAATAATGAATCCACCGGCGGATTTATTGACGTATATCTCTGTCAGAGCTACTTGTTACGTTACACTTTGTTCTCTTTCTCACTCGGACATCAATACCTACACACATACACATCTATGCCATGACGTACGTGCCATGCCGGGGAGGGCTCTTGAGTTAACAATAACAGAGGAGGAGTGAGAGGAGGGGTGGTGACATTTTAAAGGTCCATAGGGCTCAGCATCAACACCACCACCACCCACCACGTAACATCGCAGCAGAGTGCAAGAGCCCAGAGCCCCCCACTGCCCACTGATGCTGCGCTTCTCGTGGCCAATGGGCGGCCGGGCATGCGACGAGCCTCCTGCGTGCAGTTCCGCCCCGTGCCCTCTGTAGGATGGTCACCAACCCCCCTCCCCCACGCCCCCTACCATCACGTGAGAGCCATTGCATTTGATGACTACTGACTACGACTTACACGTTGCAGAGAGAGAGAAGGGGGAGGGTCGGTGGTCTTAGCGCGTTGGCTTTGGCTTGGAGTCACTTAGCAAGAGCCAGAGGCGACCTGGTCGGGTGCGTACACGCGGCACGCCACGGTGTGGGCCCACTCGCTTCAACAGCATCGCCCTTCGTACACGACTCGACTGCTGCTGCTGCCTACTGCTGCTGCTGGTGCAGCAGCAACTATTGCGGAGCATCTTCAGGGAGGTGATTTTCACAGCCCTTTTCGCCGACCCAGCAAGCCAACTCGATACACCAAGCGCCAGCTTGCTAACAGGTGAGAGAGGGAGGGAGGGACATTGAATTGGCATTTTCGTCGTTGTTGCATTTGGATCCGCGCGGCCACTTCGCTGTTGCAGCGTTACCCCCCACTTGCCCCGAGCCTCTCTGTGCGAGCGGTGAACGCTGCCGCTGCAAGTCGTTGGTGTGGCACGCTGAGCGGGCACGGGGCAGACGCGACGTGGGATTGCCCCTCGCGGCCGTCGCCTTCAAAGAAGCGCCGAGCGGGAGGAAAGCGGCCTGCGCGCACGGCTCTCTCGGTGGTATTACCGCGACGTGTTTGTCCGACGTTTCGTTCCACGCACTGTGGGGGTGGGGGGGGGTTAGTTGAAAGAAACTCCCCGGCCATCGCACGTGGAGCTACGACGCAGCATGAGAGGCGGGTGAACGTGCGCGTATTTTGTATGGAGGAGGCTCGTGAAGAACGCTGCTGCTGCTACTGGGCAGTTGGAGGCAGTCGCCCTCCCAACAGCAACTGAGGGCAGAGGAGCGACGCTCACAACAACGAGCGGAGCGCCGGGCGGATAAAATACGGCAAGTTAGCACAGCTGGTGGAACAGCTGATGGTGCTTCTGTCAGTCAGCCAACACACGGCACCTGCGGGGTCTGTCCCGTGACCTCCTGCCAGCAGCGAGCCTTCGACACTTCACGTGGCCTCAACGTGCACCTGGCCTGGCACAGGCGCCGTGGTGACTTCACCGTCACTTAGTGGCGAGTGGCGGGCGCTGGTATTGTATGTCTGTTGAACTTCTTTCGCACCGTACGTAGCCAACCGTGCTAATCGGAAGTGCACTCAGGAGCCCTCGCGCTCCAAGTGGATGCGGTGGACACTTTACTGCAAGGGAGGGGGGGGGGGCAGTTCGCGTGCGGGCGAGATCAGATATAATCTGCTGCTCCTGCTGCAGGTGCTGCAGCTGCAGCAGTAGCTGCTGCTGCGTGACTGCTGCATGCACGCGTGCCTCACTGCAGATAGCGTATCAAGTCGTGGGTGGGGGGGAGGTTGCAGCTCAGTGCTTGTCCCAGCGACTGATTTGAGTGATCCGAGTGGAAGCTGCCACCTCCGTGCGCCTCTCTCCTCTCGCCTGGCCGGGCTCGCTCCCTGTACCCCCCCCCCCCCCCCAGCAGACCCCCCTGTGGTACGCGCAACATTGAAAGTTTCGCTTCTGCTTCGGCCGCTTCGCCCCGCTACAAGTTGTTGGTGTTTCGGTCAGATTGCGCGCTGGATAACGAACACGCACACACACACACACGCTGACACGCTCACACACGCTCACACACACACACGCTCACACACACACACACGCTCACACACGCACACACACGCTCACACACACGCTCACACACGCACGCACACACACACGCACACACACACACGCACACTCACACGCACACTCACACACGCACGCTCACACACACACGCACACACACGCGCAAAAAACGCTCACACACACACGCACACACACACACATGCTCTCACACGCACGCGAGTTAGCCACGGAGGGCATTCATTTAGTACGTACGCATGAAGGGGGGGGTTAACCCAAATGCGTTCGCTTGTGTATAGGGGGCTCTACTGACAATGTGCGTACGCATAGGAAACGGGGGTGTGGGGGGGTAAAGCCTCGATAATAATTTGTCTACATTGGCCTTCAAATGAGTTAGATAGTCCGGCAGTGGACTTTCTGTTTGCTTAAACACGTTCATATTATTAATCCTTGATCGTTTCTGCGTGGATTAAATATCGGCCGTTCTATAGGATTGAGGTGGGGGGGAGTGCGTCAGGCGAACGTACGCAGGTGTGGTAGGGGGGTGTAAAAAGTCTGCGTGCGTACAGGGAGGGGTGGAGGGGTCAAGTTTTAACAGATTTTTGCGTAGCTATTCAGTGGATGGCCCCATACATACCTCTTGCCACTCGAAGCCTCGGTTCGGCTTTCAGGGTGCCAGCAACGTGCTGTCGGGGGGTTGTAATGAATGCCTCCCATCGTGGTGATACTAGCGGAGTGATTCTCGTGGACGTGCTGCAGCTTGTCAGAGACAGTTCGCGTTACAGTAATGCGCTTCAAGGTTGTCGCGTGGGAAAGAAATGCCTTTGCAAATGGACCTATCTGGAAACCCTTAGGTCAACAGATTCATTATGACCCGCCATCCCGTTTTTAAACTTGCGTTTAAAAATAAGAAAATGTATTTCCGTATGGAATCGCGTGTGCGTGTGTGCATCCAATTTAGTGCAAATTGTTGGACTGTTAATTCAACGGGGTTTTGCTGCTGCAGTAAAGTGTTTATTGGCCCTGTCAATAAGGTCGTGAGTCTGAATGCTGGTCAGGCCTCGAACTTTGCCCATAAACCCTCCGGAGTACCCTCCGGAGTCTATTAAATGAGTCGTACCACTCGTGGCTCTCACCAATAGCAATCGGGATACGCATGGAGATGGCGCAGTATCCCACGATGTTCGTTTGGAGTTTGGACTTCCCGCCAGACTGGGTGAGAGTTGCTTACACGGAGCGGGAACGCCTGCTGATAGTCCAGCGTGCGTGACGTTTGCGGTTCAAGTCCAGCCACTGCTCCAGATAACTGTTGGCTCACGCAATAAAGCAAATGCGTTCTGCGCTGCGCAAAGTCAACGTCAAATGCCGCGTGACATCTTTAAGTAGAGGGAGAAATTGTGAGCCGTGCCACAGACTGCGACTACCGCTTTGCGGGAAGTCAATAGTTGGGGCAAAATTGAACCCTGCCCGTGGGAATGTAATAAATATCTCCTGCTATCGTTAGTTTAAGGGTCACCATTGGCCATATCGTAATTCGGGATTTAAAATAATATTATTTCGCTGCAGGGCCAAGCATTCTCTGCCATTGAAATTTGAATAAGTTCATTGGCTCTCCCAGCTTAAAAGTGGTTGTTTGAAATGATTTTAAAATTTCGGTCTAATGGAAATAATACGTACTTTCGTGCAATTCCAATTAAAACGAACAACAAAAATGAGTTTGGAGCATTGTTCCCAACTGCTGTTAGGTTTCTCAGTAGATGTGGCCATAAGAATCTGGACTCAGTTTGTCTTAGCTGGCTCATGGCAACCATTGGCAGGAAGACGTGTTGTCAAACTATGTCCCTTGTGTTGCCTGTGACTTAAACGATGTGCAGCAGTGCATCGATGCTCACCGTCTCTCATGGGAAAACAAAAACTCGTGGTGGAACTTTCTCGTTGCTACGGCAGAAACCAGTCTCTCCGTATGGACAAGCAACTGCGTTTGAACTTAGGATGTTCTTAAGAATATGGTGCAATGCAAGCTAATTGCATTATTAACCTGCAGATGTTTTGTTGTTGTGAAATATATCTTTGTATGGCAAGTGAACTGATATTATATTTGCACTTGCCATTACCCTTTCTCTAATGCACAATCGTGCGTTATTATTAGTAGCTGCTTGATGCTCGCGTTATATTGGCATGCCTTGGCTATTATGGCATCTTTTAAAAATAGATAAACACACGTGTACATACTGTGACACGCGTGACTGTTAAATATGGTCTCGATGACATTGCAAACATCCAGTTGCAGCTTTATATTTGACTACACCTGGGTGACCTCCCTAGTTCTCACCACCAATGTCAAGGTGGATGAAGTATAAATGCAGAGGTGTAGCTTACCGGTGCTCTTATGCACGACTTTAGTCTGTTACAATTTCTATTTATTCATTAGCTGTTGCCTGATGATGCTAGTTGTAATTACCGGCGAAACGTCGTGCTCGATTTGCAGATGTTGTGGGTTTACTCTCCAACACACAAGCGGTGTGCTGAACTTGTAACTAATTGGCACGTTTTGCCTAAACCTTATTAATTGGCTTTGTCGGGTGGCGGCGGGTTTAACCACACATTTATATTTACACGCTCTAACCCAAAAAAAACCCGATATTATGGATAATATTGGTAACGAAAGTCCTACGACGTGTTAAACTAATTCGTTGAATCACACAAAACTGAGCCATATACATAAACAAGTGGGGATTCATTAAAACCCTGAGAACCATAAAGTCAATTGGGGTTCCTTCATTGGAAGAGACTGGACATCACAATGAGAATGTGGAATTTACACCACTCTCAAAACTGCCAATGGAGATCAACGCTGCCCCATATTAATTTGAGTGTAGGGAACGTATGACGTTGTGAGTTTGTTAAATTATACATACTTATAATTGGCTATTACACGGACACACTGTGGTGCAATCTTGTGAATGACTCACATGAGTCAGTAACATCCACATTTTGAGCGAATGCTACACTTTGGAATTTCCCTGCAGAAGTGAATTTCCAGCAACAGAAATGAAACCACAACACCGTACATATTTTGCAAATCGCAGAAACTCTCTGCACACACGCACTCAAACTCTCAATATGAATCAATTACAGATCATTGTCGGATCCACTGCTGGACGAAGCCCTCTCTCCCCAATTGATTTGCTGTCGGCCACAAATTTACCAATACAGTACAGTACTGCAATGGAACAGGCGACACTGAGTACCCAGAACTGGCCTCTCAACTCAAATGCAAGTTTTGCTGGAATGCGTGCGTGTGTGCGTGCGCGTGTGTGTATGTGTGCGTGTGTGCGTGCGCCCTTGCCGATTGTTCGCATCAAAGGGCACAAAACAGCGCAACACGCTTAAGGGAAGGGGGCCAAATGGCTTTTTTTTCAGTTCACGGATCTGCGAGGGAGGCCGCGCGCGCACGAGGTCGGTATTTAGAAAGCACTCGAGGGGGCACTTGGGCCGTATTGACACAAGCGCTTTAAACACGGAACAGAGTCGCTCACGGACTCCGAGGGCTGGAACCAGCACAACCGGATCGCTTTGTTTGCGAGTCGCAGTGTGTTGCAGAGGAGGGGATCTAACTAACTAAACGTTGTTTGTTTTAATTTAACCACCAGGCAAGGGCCACTGAACTATACAGCTCTTTTTCAGAAGCGACACGGACACAAATTCAGGATCAAACGGAGTGACTTATCACGTGGAAATGTAGAGCAGCCAAATAATAGGAGTCATGCCATACCATCCATTACCTGCAGGTAACCCCCTAGGGATAATAGAGTGAATTGACCACGTGACTCCTATTATCTGTGGAAAATAATCTCCGGCATCATGATGTTGATTCTAAATGCAGAGGAAAACACTGGAGGACCCGGAGAAAAATACACGCGAACACGGGGAGAACACGCAAACTCCAAATATACACAGGTCGCTTCTGCTAAAGAGCTACTGTAGAGAGCTCAGTGAGTCTTCTCTGGTGGTAACATGAAATCGTAGTTTAGTTTAGCTCACCCCCTGGGGTTACGAGATGCTCTTTCTGGGCGTGCGAGACGTGGCCAGATGTTTTTCGAAGGTAAATCATCGAAACACAAATTTAGCATGGGCACGTAAGTACAACTACTTTGTTTCATCAAACCGATGTATTTATTAACATTGTTTTTTTCACGATTGAGAAACATGAGTTGAGATGAGATGCGGTGCAAGTGGCTAACCACGTGTAAAGCGTTTAGAGTGAGAAGCCTCGGCGTGAAGAGCACTTTATTATTTCTGCATTTATCTAATTGCAGTACACTTTTGGTTAGTACAGCATCTACATTCCACTTACGGTACATTTTAAGATGTTTTTTTTTAAGAAGAAAGAGCTATAAATACATTCACGAGCAATGTTTAACATCCATGCAATTCACACACTTTAAGCTGCCTAACCCAGTTATATTTATGATTCAGACTCATAGAACCCGAACTAAGGAGCTGAATATATCAACAATTGTTGCGTCAACGTCGGAGAAAGCTCTCGGGCCAACCTTCGCCCGACTGTTATTAGTCTTTTGTTTCTGTACACTCAGCAAAGCGTTCTTCCAGATGTCCATGCATCGGATACCGCAGGAGGTGCATTGTGACGTTCACAATGGTAGCTTTGTGTGTCTGCGCGCGGAAGGAGGGGGGGTAAGTCTTCTGCAGAAATTGGAAACACAGCTACATGCAAGGTTACATAAGAACTGGTGAAAGGCCAAAGTTATGAAAACGTTGAGGCTTGTTTGGCTTACACATTCTTCCGGGTAGACGTGTGTGTAACCTGTAATGTGTAGCAGGTGCTGTCGTGTAAAGCTTAACAAGCAGGTCCAGCGAGGTGGTGGTGCTGTTGGTATATGTGAGTTCAAATGCAATCCATCATCCCCCTGTGGATCAATAAATTAGACAACACTTTTCAGGAAGTCAGCAGTGGTGTTCCTCCTATGGAGGGTGGGCGGTGGGGGGGATATCCACAGCAGAGCTGGAATAATGAAACTAGATACCTGTACGTGTGTATGTTGAACTTCTTTCGCACCGTACACAGCCAACGGTGCTAATTAGAGGTGCAGGGGAAGGACAACAGACTACTTGTGGTGTAGGTGTATTATATCATCACAGGATTCGTGAGAGATTTCAACAACTTGGGGGGGGGGAGGCCTTCATCCAGCAGTGGATTGACCGTGACTGATGATGATGATGCCGTCACCCAACATAAGAATGTGGAATTGCCACCACATCGCTAAACGGACAGAAGCGCACTGCTGCAATGATCATTTGAGCGGAGAGAAACAATGTTATATACATTATTATTATGAGAAGGCTGATGATGGGTCGCATACCAGTTGTTACCAGAAGGCACCTTTCCACGGGTAACTAACCTTTATCCCCAGCCCGGCGCTGTGGCATCTACCCTAGAAAAGAATTGGAAGTGGAAAAAATGTCCTGATATGGTACATACATTGAACTCTTCTTATATAGAACTCACGATGGCGAGATAATAACTCCCTCGCCCGGTATGCAGGAGGTCGTGGGTTCGATTCCGACCCTGATGCCTGCTGCATATTTGTAGTTTTCGTGTTCTCCCTGTGGTTGCGTGGATTTTTCTCCGAGTCCTCCAGTTTTTCCCTCCACATTGAGAAACATGCATTAAGAGTATTTGGCTGCTATGCATTTCCACGTGATAAGCCACTTCGTTGGGATACGATTTGCGGCCAGGTCACTCCTGAAAAGGAGCTATATCGCCTAGTGGCCTTTACCTGGTAAAATAAAAAAATTATCGTAATTTGTTTAGAAAAGTCGTGTTGATATTAGGGATCTCCCAGTAAGCATGCATCGTTGGCCAACGTTCCATGTTGGCTGGGTTACCAGATATTGATGAAATAATTGCTTGTGCCCTCCCCAGCAGAGCCGCTATCTGAGCCCCGTGGCCTATAGACAGCCCACGGACGCCCCTGTTTCCTCGCATGCCTGGCGCGCGCGCTCCCATAATTATCAACAATTACATACTTCTGAGGACGAACGCATATGTTGGGACGCATTTGCAGAATCCACGCGTAAGCAGGACTTTTCCTTCCTGTTCTGGAGTAGTTTTTGCGTGCGGGAGAACTAGCTATCGCGCCTTGATGAGATCCCAGATTGCCTATTCGAGGCCTTGTATCAGAAGCCTGCCCTGACACACCTAATTCAGTGAGGGACTTCCAAGTCGACGTGTCCCAATGCTACGCGGTGCTCATTTCTCTCAGCAGGCCTCATTCCAGTGGTGGAAGTTCAACATTTATCTCGTGGCGCAATTGGAAATCCCACAATTTGGGTGCTCATTGTATTGACCTCAGAGGAATTATTGTTTTTTTGTCAATGCCTGGCTGGCATCTGAACCACCCAGCGTGTTATCGTGTATCAATCGTGCCTGCTTGCATTACGGAAAAAATAACTCCCACAACTTTGTGGGGATGGACCCACGATGCAAAGAAGCCCAAACAACGGCAAGTAATGGCCCTAGAGCAACATGATTTGTGGTTTACAAACAATAATGAGCTGAAAGTTAAATGATTCCAGTTATTTGTGAAATTTAAATGATTGGAGGGAATGTTGTAGGAGAACGTATAAACACATAGCAATGTGTTAATACGTGGACCAACGCTTTCACAGCATTGTGTTAACATGCGCTTCGTGCCTGTGCAAGTGTGACGGCAAGCGGTCAACTGTCCTATGGGGATCAGTGTGGTAAGCGAATATGATACTGCTCTCCAGTTCTGATGGCTACACCAGCGAAAGTTGTTTTCTGAACCTGATCTGGACCCCTCATATGTGGTCTGCGCACAATATGAACACCTGATGCGGTGTGACCAACATAAGCACCATCAGCACCGGGTGCTTCCGCCCATCCTCACTCCTCGTGCGCCACGCTGACGTAAACACCGAGGATTTGCATCATCGTCCCCTGTGTCTGTGCCACGCAGGTGTATATCCGTACGGCGCAGCTTGTTCCCCGAGCCACTGCCGAGGAAAGGCGACAGGAGGGGATACACGCCAGCTCCGCACGTTGTGGCAGCACCACCAGAGCAAGCATGGCAGTGTTGCCTCCGCGAGAGTACCTGCCGCCACCTTCACTCTTCGGGCCCCACTCCTCCACACTGGCGGCAAGCGTGGCAGAGATGGAGGAGATGGAGGAGATGGAGGAGGAGGAGGAAGAGGAGGAGAGGGAGCGCACGCCTACCTCGTGCCTCCGGGGCGGTCGCCCGCTGCTGTCCGAGGGTGAGGAGGAGGAGGACGAGGAGGACGAGGAGGGAGACTGGCGCTCGGAATGCTCCAGCCCGCGCTACCTGTGCGCGACCGGTGGCAGCGAGGGCTCCTCCGCCTGTGCTTCCTGCTGCTCCAGTCCCGACGCTCGGCACTCCTCCCCGGGCCACTCATCCTCGTCGCCGTCGTCGTCCTCATCGTCGCTGTCGTCGCCGTCGTTGCACTCGAGTCGACCCATGGGCCGCGACAACGACGCCATTGTCGAATACCTCCTGGCACAGTCGGACCCTCGGCTGTACGACGGGGCTCTTTTCGACGGAGGCTCTTCGGAGGACTGCCTTTCGACCTTCCACTACCACCACTCGGCGTGGCCCGGCTGCTCGTCGAAACCGGAGCTGCCAGACCTCAGCTTCGGGGACGGTGGCGTGGGCTGCTGCACGTTCAGGCCGACCCTGGATGAGATCGAGGAGTTCCTGGAGGAGCACATGATGTCCATGCAGGCGGCTCCGTGCCTGCTACCTGGCTCGAGCAGACTGGAGGAGCAGGACATGAAGTACGAGAGGCCGTGCAGGCTGCTGGGCGAACCCTCTTGCTCCTCCTACGACGGTCAGCAGCTGAACGCAGCGGCAGGGGAACACAAGGGTGTGGCGTGCATGAACGGAGGCTCGCAGGCTCAGCCGCAGCCGGGGGGACCGCAGTCTACAATGGCAGAGGGCGGCATGCCGGTCGTGTTGCAGCTACAGCACATGCAGGTGAAGGGGAACTCTGACTGCGCTGTGGAGCAAGATGACCATCAGCAGAGCAACGGTGGCAGCAGCAGCAGCGGCAGCTCCGGCAGCAGCACTATGGACGTTAAAGTGGCCCAGCTCTTTGTGACCATCCAGGGGCAAACATTCGCGCTGGTACCGCAGAACTTCCCCAACGCAACCGGCTCGGGGAACTCCCGGCAGTACGTGAAGATCGCGCCCGTGCCCATGTCCTCCAAGTCGTGGGGCTCCTCCGCTGGAGGGGCATCCTTCCAGATCTCCGGGGAGGTGGGCACGCCGGGCTCGTGCAGGATCGCGGCCTCCTCCTCGTCCTCCTCCTCCGCCGCCACCTCTTTGGCCTCCTCCATGGAGCCCCTTAAGCTGCACAGGTGCCAGCACCCGGGCTGCAACAAGACGTACACGAAGAGCAGTCACCTGAAGGCGCACATGAGGAGGCACACGGGGGAGAAGCCCTTTGCGTGCACGTGGTCAGGATGCACTTGGAGGTAATTGAAATCAATAGAGTAGAAGTATCTGTACGGATGATAAGATGCATGTCTGTGTCCAAGTGTCATCAGAATAATATGTATTTATTGACGAGTCGTGCTTTCATTGGAACTCGAATGACCATCAGAAAGGTTGTTAAATATGACGTGACATTGGAAGAGCATTCGTGATTATGTGAGAATGCTGCATGGAGTTAACCAACTTTTGAAGATTACAACAAAGCCCTTTGCAAACCCCTCCAGGCGTTGCAACTGGAAGCCCATCGGCAGATTGTTTGCCTTTGGTCCCGACACGGGATCCATCGCAGCGCTGCTTGCCACCCAGGGATTGACTTCCCACGAGAACGCATTGTCCAGAGAGAGCACGAGGCACACGACTCACAGCGTGCCACACGGAGTCGTATCCCCGCGTATGTGTGGGGTTTCCCCAGGCATTCCTGTTTCCTCCTGCATTGGCAAATAATTGGCTGAATCAGGTTTCCCCTCGCGAAAGAGATGTGGCACTGCCCCAGTGGCTGGCCTCTCGCGTTATGACACATCAGGGGGTGGGCAAACTCACCTTGACCCTTCAAATACGAGTGCAATTTGTACTTCCTTGTTTTGCATCTATTTGTTTCATTTACTTCTCGGCGACCCACTTAACGTTTCTCTGTCTTGTACCCTTGATTATATTTGTGATGTTGATGTCACTGGCTGACGCACCGCCCACCCCGCCCACCCCTACTGGACATCTGCGAAAGAGAGCTTCATGGCTTAATCAGATTCCTTCTCCAGGATAAATATATATTCTGATTCTGATGCCAACATATTCAAATGGGCCAGCACCACGTGACACTCGGTTGTATTTAAACATTAATATGCGTTTATTTCCGTGATTTACAGAGCTTTGAGCACCTTGTAGAGAGGCGCTTTGTAAATTGTTATTTTATATTGGCATAACGTTGCCCTTCATCATTGGGAGCGGCCCTCAGGCCCCTGATCCCAGCCACACGCAGCTCTCAGGATCGGGCCACTCACCTTCAACGTACGTACGTGTGTACGTTGAACTTCTTTCGCATCGTGTGCATACCCAACCGTGCTAATCGGCGGTGCTTGGGGAGAGGGGACAATAAACTAAACACACACAAAGAAGTTCTAAAGAAATGTGTTTGTCAGTCGAGATGATTAAAAAGTGCACAGCTCCCAGGGGCTACCTAAATATCGGAAGAGGAAGAGCATTCCAGACGGCCGCAGAGGCGCATCCAAAAGTGCCGCGCAATGCAACAAACTGGTTCACAAGTTATTGAGAGGCCTTCCCGCTATGACATCTTATCAAATGTAAAAGCTGCTCAGTGTGGGTGAAATGGGCAGGTTTGCCGACATATATAAAAAAACAGTACTATCAAATCTCCCAAACATAAGTTTTTTCCCATTGCAGTATTAAGCTGCGTTACCAGTGTTGATGGCCACGCAGTGAAGCAGTATGTTATATTAAGAATTAATTGACCTGGGCGGATGCTCAAGGAAATGTGCAAGAACCACTTACAGAGGAAGAGCGTGATATATATATTAAAAGATCGCTATCTGAATGGGCTGTCACCCCAAAATATAAAAGGTTATCGTTTAGGTAGGGTCCGGTAGTGGCATGGCTTGTTGTGTTTGGTTTAGGTGCAGTGGAAAATTCTTACGGCAGACGGGAAGCTGGCAATGAGGACATTCATTCAACGTTGGATGCTTGACGTTGAATGTGAATATTGGAAATATATATTGTCCCGGAAATGTTTCAGCAGTTTGCTTCGTCAATCATTAATTTGGCCAATAAAGCTTCTTAAATAAACTCTGTTTTACCACCTGCTTGTGGAAACGTCTGGCTGGAACCTGGCCTTGTCAGTGCATCTAATGGGTGCACCATCCATTCCATGTGCGACTTTCAAGCTTGCTCTGTCAGTGTTCTTCATTGCAAGGCCCGTGGGCCACTGGCAGCCCCTGGTGGCCTTTAGTGCGGTCCCCGACAATACACAACGTGTGGCAACACCACCCACACATCATCATCGTGCAACTGTCAAACCCCCAATGGTTTAAAATGTGTGGCAGCTCTCACGCTGATGATGTCTTATCGGCGAAAGTGGCGCCCCACCCCCACCCTCTGAAAATGAGTAAAGAACACCGCTCTATGTGGTGCCGATGCACTTGCTTCACTTTTGAGAGCCTCGTCTATTTTTATACCGCATGCACCAGGTGTTTTTCGATTACATTTCACCCTATCCTCCTCCAGGCCCTGTTCAACGTCGTCATCTATCGAGCAGGAAAACGTCCACCGGGTTAGACCCAGCAGCCCTGTCGCCCCACCGCACAGCCCCTCTCGCTCTAAAGCCCCAAACCAAGGCCGTAGCCATGGAGTCAACATTGGGGGGGGGGGACCAAATCTTCCAGGGGGTCTTGGGGTCCCCCCCAGAAAAAAAAAATCTAAATTTGAAAACGAATTACCTGCCTAAAATATAAAAAGACAATTCATTAACACATAGGAAAGACTTTTTATTGATTTTTTACAATAATGTATAATAGTGTATTGTATTACATTGCTCTGTTTTTTATTTTTCCTTTTCTTGTTTCATTGTATGTAATGGCAGAGATTAGGGATTAATTAGTACAACCATAACCACAATCTTATAAACTGAAATATATTTTATAGCAATATATTGGGTAGAACATTTTGAGCGTATTTAAATATGGGGGGGGGGGGTGTGTCCCCCCCCCCCAATATATATTATAATTACGGCCTTGCCCCACACGCCCGGCGAGATGTGAAACTGGGAAGCAAGTCTAGGCAAACGATGGTGGCCTACTCAAGCCCTATTTGTCAGTAAAAAAGAAAGTCTAGGCCAGGGGTCGGCAAACCAAAACTAACAAGAGCTGTTTTTTTGCGAATTCGGTAAAAAAAAAACTCAATATTTCAACAGCCGCAATGCAAAGCAGTGAATTCGAGACGGTGGTCGTTAATAAATAACGGTCACGAAGCGGCCCTGAAAGAGCCGCGGGTTGCGACCCCTCGCCTAGATCCTGCCTTTGAATCTGGGACAACGAAGTCGGATTAAACCGCAGCGAGCCCGAGTCCGCGAGCTCGGTGAACAGTGGCATCACCACCAGCACCACCAACATCACCAGCACCACCACCAGCAGCACCACCAGCACCACCACCACCACCAGCATCACAACCACCACCACCAGCACCACCACCACCAGCACCACCAGCATCACCACCACTATCACCACCAGCATCACCACCAGCACCACCACCAGCACCACCACCAGCACCACCACCAGCATTACCACCACCACCAGCATCACCACCAGCATCACCACCACCACCAGCACCACCACCACCATCACCACCACCCAGACCCCACCTTGAGCCACTCAGGCCCGCCGATTTGTCACCTCGATGCTCTTTGTGCACTCGTGTTTTAATGGGCTCACTTAAGTGTGGAGCGGGCCGTGAGATTTTCACGGTCTAAACGTTGCATAAAATAAATAAAACAACAATGTATGGTGAAACGTGCAAATGTTTTCACGTTTTGCCACACGTCCGTGTGGTTCATGCAAACTTGATGCCTTGCAAAAGGGAGCTATTTGGTGATTGAACATCATAACTCCTCCTGTTGTATTTCCAGAAAGGGTAAAACCTGTTGTTATTTTTTTTTATAATTTTGGATACTGACAAAAGGTGGCATAGATATAACAATATGTGGTGTAAACGAAACACACATACCGATGGTGTATAATACGTTTTATTTAACTCGGGTAACAAATATTTCGAAAAGCCAAAACACCGTTTTGCCTCAGTGGGTTGGGCACAGCCCAACGTGGCAATGTGATGAAGCAGAACGTGGACCGGTAGCACACCCACCTTGTGTGTTATTATATAAACATGAAGCAACGTTTTCCAAACATAAGCACACACACCAACAAACGCCTGCTTGGGGCAGTAAAGCATGGCGAGATTTGTGGCCTTGCGCTTAGTCGGTACTCAAAAATCTGTCAACTTGACCCCCCCTCCATGTACACACGCGGACCTTTTACCCCCCCCCCCACCCCCGAATCCTATAGAACGGCCCATATTTAATCCACGCAGAAACGATCAAGGATTAATCATATTAACGTGTTTAAGCAAATAGTCCTCCGCCGGCTGCATTACAGAATTAAGTTTGCGTACCTATAACAAGTTTGTCTCGTGTCGGCTATACAAAGTGCGTCGACTGAACATCGACTGTGACAGTCGAGCGATGTAGAGACGAGTGTTCGTGCTGAAGTCCGGGCAGCAGCAGTAGCAGCACGAACAGAGCAGCACCGTGGCAGCTACAATCTTGAGCCAGCGGCGGTCCGCAGTGAGGGCAGATTGCAGGATGTGTGGTGGTCCATGGTGGGGCAGGTCGCCCACACTATGTCAGACTCACTGCTGAGCTGCGTGATGGCTGCAGTCAGGGGCACGGTGGCACACGAGTGGCACCTCTCCCACAGTCCCACTTCTCCCGGCAGGACTTGTTGTCTGACAGCTGAATAAACTCAACTGTGGCTCATTTGAAGGCCAATGTAGACAAATTATTATCGAGCCTTCATCCCCCCCCCCCCCCCCGTTTCCTATGCGTACGTTCATTGTCAGTAGACCTCCCATACGCAAGTGTACGCATTTGGGTTAACCGCCCTCCCCCCCTCCAGCGCTACGTACTAAATGGATGGCCCCTTAGCACTTCGATAACGTATGTATGCGTGTGCGTTGAACTTCTTATGCACCGTACGTAGCCAACCTCGCTCACCGGAGGTGCTAACAGTGCACCCCATTAATCATTTAAGAGCAATTAAGGCTATGTATAGTATCACTACTTTAAATAAGATTATGGTAATGATTACGATTGTTGTGTATATACACTTTAGTTATAACCAGGTTAAGGTCCAACTGCGGCAAGCCTGCTTTGTCAATTAGACATTGGGTAGCGCAAAACCATTCAGAGCGTGAACCCACTCAACACGTTGGGACATTCCACGGGGTTCACCACTCTAAAGCTCTGATTCCAGTGGTGTATATAGCCCGGTGTGAATACTTAATGCGGAGTGTTCCCACGTAAGACAAACCAGTCATTAGGTAACCATTTTGTGTTTGCTTTGTCTTAGGGCCATTACGCACTGTTGAGGAGCAATTGACTTGTACAGCATTACCATGTCATGGGTTTCCTGCCAAGGCTTATTGAATTACGTTTAAAATCCGCCACTTATTTCACCAACATTGTTCTAAATAATTTGTTTAAACTATCATAGGCCATGCAGAGAATATGTGCTGCATTGGAATCTGCTCTATTCCCTGCTTCTGCTCCATGTCAAACCTCGCAGAGGAGTATCTCTACTTTCTAACCATTCCTTGGTATTTTGACTCGGACATTATCTATATACACACAGAACTTATTAAAACTAATTAAAAACAAACAAATTGTATGATGCTGGCCAATACATTGGAGCCAGCACCACCGTTTGCTACCAACATCCACCGCCACATCCCACAGGGACGTGGATATTTTTAACACCGATAAGGACATTAATAGCTCGTGCTATAAGGTCACGCTGTCACGTGCAATAAAAAAAGCAGAAACCCACGTGTCACCTGTTCCATACGGATGACATTCTGTGTCTGCCTGTCACGGCATGTTCTGTCAATTCATTAAGACACGAGGCAGCCGAGTGGTACAGGAGGCTATTCGATTGTAAATAGTCACGGCGTCGACCCAGCACTGTTGCGTATTCTGGGTAAATGAGGCTCCGAAGTGCATTGGGGTGTGATGGTCGCTGCCTGGCCACACGAAGAGTGATCCAATACATTTAGATTCTCGTTTGATTTATCCTATCTCAACTCTGAAAAAAATAAAATGCAGATTTACTGCAGTGTCGCGATTGTCGTGAGGAAAGAGAGAGGGCTACTGCTGTAGTAACTATTCACTGTGTTTCATTTGACCAGAAGCAACCCGGCCACAAATGACAGCTCAACCAAGTAGTGGCTTGTCGTGTGGAAACGTATAGCAGCCAAATACCATGAAAAGCACTTTTATAACCATGGAGGGAAACAAACCGGAGGACCAGAGAAAAATCCACGCGACCACGGGGACAGCAACATGCAAACTCCAAATGTGCATGCGTCAGGGTCGGGATCGAACTCACACCCTCCTGTTTACGAGGCGAGGAAGCTAACCCCATACATAGCTGTGTGGTGTTATCTTCAAGGGACATTCGTGACGTTGGTTGAGGCTCTTCTTACTTAGCATTTCCTTAAGCTCTTGACAAGATTGATGGAGCACCTGCATTGGATGGTAATTTGTGATATAAACTTCAGGAGAACATATACCGTCATCATGGATATGGCAAGCAATCCTATCGACGGAAGCACAGGTTATTAAGCCAAGTTTCTCGAGACATACTAGTTTATGGCCGATTACACTTTTAAAAGCTCAACGTAAAAGAAAACGGTGGGAATCGACTGGAAAATGTTTAGGATTATTGTAGCTTCCGTGGAATGGATTTGCAAGCCAAGTGCAAATTGTCACCGGAGACTGAAGTGAATAATTCCAAAGCTGAAACCACACTCAATTAGCCGCAACACATTATCCATTCAAACATTAATTCAGTGTGCATTGAATGGTGCGGAGGATATTAACAGACAACCCAATGAAGGTAAACGTGACATATAACCTGCCACTGTGGTTAAGAATTCTCGACTTGCAACCATTCGCCATACGTCTTCATTCGTTTGTCCGATGTCGATGCAGAGCAGCAACTCCGACGTCACGTGCACAGTCACGTGCACACCGACCCCTGCAGTGGGAATGTGAACGTTCGTTGGCAGGGAGGCTCTGCCTTCTTACTCGAACAGCAAGTTCATACAAAATATAATCAGACACACACAATATGAGCTGTGTATTTTAACCGAGTGAGCCGTAACGCTAGGGGCTGCTCACTGAAAGCGACGTTGGAGATAACTCATCGTCCTATCAGTAATGAACTCCAGCCCAGCCTGTCTGTATTTACAGTTCTGTGCTAACACATTCACCCTGCTTGCCTCATGCGTGCACGCATTTTTGAGACAGTGGAGTAATCTAAACCCCAGACAATGTTGGGTTTGTCGTCCGTGTGGCGGAGCAGCGCTTATTTTCCAGTGCAGACAATGCGCGGGAGCAAAACAAAACTGAGTGAATGCCTCAACGCAACCCGGGCTGGGCCAGAACAAGAGTGAACATTTTGTGGGGGATTTTTTTTTCGTCTTTAGTGAAACTTCTGGGATTCCTTCCCCGGCGATGTAAACGCGCGAGACCCAAACGTATACCAAGGTGACGACGGAGGAGGCCCGCTGCCTGACAAGTGACCTGCGGTAGCACTGCGCCGTGTTCAAAGTTACATTCCGTTACAGGGCAGTGCCACTGATCGTGCTTGTGAGGTGGCTTTCTGCAGGTGGCAAATATGAACCTCATTTTAAACTCCAGTGCCAGTGACATCAACTCATAAACAAAGTCAGCGTCTCCACTGGCCCATTGAGCGCGGGTTGGCACTAAATCTCGATCTGTTGGCTGTAAGCCAGTGGTGGAAAATCCACATTCCCACATTAAGCACCAGTCTATCCATACAAATCAATTGGCTGGTTTATCTCATATTTGGTGGTATTCATGTTATCTAACCAGGTGAGATGATGAACTTGACTCCCCTTCCACTAACTATGGATACCTTCTGAATGCCACTGCTGTGCTACTGCTGTGCAGGTTTCTGCGGCTTTTGGCCTTGCCACCCTCCGCTGTGTTTTTGGATTGTACCGCGACATGAGGTGGAACCCAAAAACCCATCGGAGAGACGTTGTGAACGTATCACATGAAGGATGGCCTGCACTTAGCCTGATTAAGACTGGAATTGCGTTTTGGCTGTTATGCTACATGAATTGTTCTCCCGTGTGTGTGTGTGTGTGGTGTGCGTATGTATGTTGAGGGGAGCGGTGGCGTAGCGGTTAATGCGCTGCGCTACGAACCCGGCGACCCGAGTTCGATTCCCGCTCACGGCCAACACCAGTACTGGCCTTCATAGGTGCTCGCTTACTGCACTTACCCCTACAATCTGTTGAGGCTATGTGGGGGATCTTTGTCTTTGTATGCACGTTGAACTTCTTTCACACCCTACATTGTCGACCGTGCTGATCGGAGGTGCGTCCTTTGTCACGCTGCAGGTTCTCGCGCTCGGACGAGCTGTCCCGGCACCGGCGCTCCCACTCAGGGCTCAAGCCGTACGCGTGCCCCGTGTGCGACAAGAAGTTCGCCCGCAGCGACCACCTCTCCAAGCACATCAAGGTGCACCGCATGGCGCGGTCAGGACGCGCGGCAGCGCGCTCCAACAGCGCGTGACGGCACGCCGCCACCGCCGTTAGTGCGGAGGCAGAAGGGAATCGCCGCCAAGACGCCTTCACCTCGTTCGCCAGTGCCTTCCCTTCCTCCTCCACTTCCTCCTTCCTCTTGCCATGAAGCCAAACGTTCCCGAGCGCATCCGCAAGCACCTTCTACAAGTCGGCCACTGACGGTCCACACCGCCCTGCGGCACCGTTCACGTGCTGGCCGGCGCATTCTCAACGCTCGCCGACATACCGACGCGTCCACCATTACCTTCTCAATGTCGGTTGGCGCCACCGAGACTGACTAAGCACGCACCGCCACGTATCCGCCGTCCACCAGAAACTCCCCGTTATCCAACTAAAACGTTTTACTTGCCCAAAAAGTTGGTCGATACGGCCACTGATTAGATCTATCAGGTGCACCATTGGAACATCAGGAAGACATTCACCAGGACCTTCCCACAAAGGCACTCGCATCTTCTCAATACCAATCAGCAACCTCTGCATATCAACCAAACACCCTCTGCACATCCACCCACCAGCACCTTTTCCACGTCCATCAAAACCCCTTCAGTAAGCACCAGCATCAAGTTACACACTCACCAGCACACGTCAACAAGCACTCTCTCCACATCAACATTGAGTTATCACCCCAGATCTTCACTCGGGGTAGAATAATGACATCAAGTATTTACCCATTTATATTGTCCAGCGTTGATCATGAAACATAGATCCTACGCGCTGATCTATCCCATGTGCCATCAGTTTGAGATTTGGCTTGTGTCGGACCGGGCCGTCCAATCTTCTGCCAGAACCAGAAGCCACTCGCTTCTCTGTTCATCTTTGCCGCACTTATGATCATTTCAGAAATGTTGTCAACAAGTCGCTTACAGCAGTGGCAAAACTTTTTTTTTATAACGAATAATAATGATGTTATGTAATTTTACAGTTACGTAATTTAACATTACGTAACTGTGTAATGTAATTATGTTACAAACAAAAAAACACTACCGATTATGAAAAAAGAATAATGAGATGATGATGAACACATTATAAATTGTATTGATTATTTTTGTAATATTATAATAATAATATATATGAAGCATTTCCTGCAGGGTCAGGCTGCACACACGGCAAGGTCGGTGTGAAAATCGGACGGGTTGTAAGGGTTGGGACTCGAGGGATGAAAGCCATGCACGAAGGTTTTTGCAAGCGGGAGTTATGTGAGGCCAACCGGGCTTTGGTTTTCCTGCATCCACTTGGGGAATTGTGACAGCACCACCAGAAAGGCCTTTTTTTTTTACAGATCCTTCAAATGGTACTCAGACAACGCAGCACTTTCTGGATCACCAGCCACATGCGGAGACTATCTCAGTAGTATTAGCAACGTGCAACCTGTTGAGTTGTAATCCTTTTGTATTTTGTAACATTTTGTGTTGGCATTTTTTTCCTTCCACCAACTGTGCTTTCGGAAATCCGGAGCGAAAAACTGAAACTTTGGCCATCGTAGTGGAACTCATGGCTTTCCGCCAAGCCACAAATCAGGGCATTGTGCTTCGACCCCAGAGGTAACGTTTCAGCGCTATCTTCCGTGTTCTTCAAGGGCCTATCTTATTGCATACAACCACTAGACTGCTTTCTCTTCATCCGTGCGAATAATTGAGCGGCTCGCTCTGTTGGTTTTACTCCGTTGCCTGGTAGCTAAATAAGCCGCTAAACGGCTGGGTTCGAATGCGTTAAGTGCACATGTACGCCATAATGAAGGGTTTGTGTTCAATAGTCGTTGGGAATCTGGCTGAGACCATCACAATCAAAAGGCTTGAGAACATGGTCTGACTTCAAGTTAACCTGGATCTCGATGCGAAACAGGCGTAGCAATAACGATGCACCCAGCCACGTCTGCTGAGTGATCTTCTACTATAGTCATCTGTGAAGTTTTACAGTTGTTTAAAGTGTGCTACTGTACATGGGGAACAATGCTTTTTATCTGGTTTCGTTTTGTGGTTGTTATTTTTTTTTATATAAACAAATATGGCAAAAAAATTGTTTGCACATTGTCAAACGGGCGATTCATTGTACAAGTCTGAATGCGTGTTAGAACGGGCGACGCCAGGGTATTGGCTAAAACGTGTTTATAAAGTACCGCGGTCAATTTGTAATTGTTTGATCTGTGCTTAGTTTGCCTTTTTTAATCCGCAATAATAATAACGGATTGCTTTGGTGAGACAAAGCCGGCCGTTGTATGATGTTATTGTAAATAATAATTTAACACGAGATGTGATTTTGTCTGCTGCTATAGGTGTCCTTCCATATGAAATATTAAACGGTATTTTCATAACATTCACCCTGCGTTCTCTGTTGTCGCATTTGCGGTGCCGTGACGCTCCGTGGGAACGCGCTATCGGAAATTCGCTCGCGAGAAACAGCGATCCGTACGAGGAGTGATCACAAAACGTCCACGGTGGGATGGAGAGAGCACCACCTGAGCCTTGACAAAACGTGATGATCACCTGCTAAAGTAATTACACTTTGTCCGTCAACGTCATGAGACTTTAAGCCCTTTCGCGAAATAACTGTCGTGCTCACCAAAACATTGACGGTTCGCATCACGCCATTGTCACCAGGATTCTGCGTTCGTCTCGATTGGCCTGCCGTCGTCTCTTCATGCGACGTGTCCTGCCTTGTCGTTAAGCAGTCAAAACACTACAGTACGAGTGCATCGTTAAAGCAAGAAATACCTGCACACCTATCCAGAGCCATCGTTGTGAAGGGGGGGGGGGGGTGCGGGTCCCAGGGCAACTCACACACCGTGTGGACTCCCCCCAATACCTTAAAACTAAAGCGGAGGTAGTACATCCATCTGACACCGTGATGTTGAAGTGCGGGAGGCCCCCCAAACCGCGGGGCCTGGGGCGATCACCCCCTTTCATCGTAGCCTAGGGATGGCTCTGCACATATGCGTTGGTTGCTTTAAGCTGCAAAATGGAAATGTCCCATGGCCTAAAAAATACAAAATCTAAACTTTGGGAGCCCACTTAGAATCCGGTAACAGGAGAAACAGCCCAAGGTCGCCTGCTTGGCTGCCTTGATACTTTCTGCTTTACAAGGGCAGGCAGCACCACTCCATTCCAGCTACAGTGAGGTGCGTCCACATGCTTAGCACAGAGAGGAGTCCTCGTGCTGATGTGCGGCATTCGCAGAGATGTGAGCCTCACTCCACATGCAGCCGGGCAGCGAAATCCACCTCGTGCTTTCATCACCTCCGATACGTGCCAGATGGTGACTCAAGTTGAACGTTAACTCCACTAGAATTTCAATTAACTCCATTAACTGTGACCGACTGTGAATTCTGGAAAGCGATCCTGGGCAAGTTATTCGTTCGCAGGCTTCCTGCTGAGCATTTTACTACAGCCAGTCGATGGTTAAATTCACGCTGAGCCGTGTTATTCAGCGAACAATAACCAATGTGTCACATCTGCTGCTAAAGGGTTCTGGACACATCATTTGCAAGAATTCCCCTCCAACAAAATTGCACATTTTATCACTTTCCATATTTAACAGCAGTCACTCAGATTTACCTTTTAAAAAAGACACGAGGCTCAATCCGTGTGGAGACATAAATCAAAGAGAACAGTGGAAAATTGGTAATTTTTACGAGTCTCAGCCTCAATAGCTTAATACAGTAAAATTGGCAAGAGCTGTCCTACTTAACTGGTTTGGCGTGTGGCAAGGTGTTCACCCCAATTGGCGAGGCTGTGATATTGAGATCTGTGCTTCATTCACAGAACTCCTCTTATCCACGTCCTTATTACCGACGGTTCCTATTACATCGGCATCTGTAGGATCCGCAATAAAAAAATCACTCCTATTAGCTGCGGTTATCCGCGAATTTACCCATAACGTGTAATGAAACTGCTCGTGATGCCGGAGGTTATTTTTCACGGAAAATAGGAGTCGCGTGCTCAATTCACCCTATTATCCGCAGGGTTACCTGAGGGTAATGGATGGTATGTTATGACGCCTATTATTTGACTGCTATACATTTCCACATGATAGGCCACTTCGTTGAGCTATCATTTGTGGCCAGGTCTTTTCTGAAAAAAGCTATGGAGCTCAGGGGGCCTTACCTGGTAAAATAAAACTAGTAGTAGAAGTACATCTGCCATTTTATGCAGGTAAGAGGAGTCGCATGGCCAATGCACCCTATTACCCACAGGGTTATCCACGAGTTTTTTACCGCGTGGATGAGAGGGGTAAAATCGCCGATAACCCCGCGAATTATAGGATCTGCAATATTGGTCAACCCACGTCACCGTCGATAAGATGAGGTATTGGCGGGATGTGTGCACTAACCACTGCACCATCGCTCCTTATCAAATGCATACGAAAACACTTAGACAAAGCGAATGGATGACATCGGCCAGCCTACACGAGACACCAACAGCAGCAGCCAAGACTGTGTGTAGCCGGTCCGCCCTGCTACCACTCCTCCCGTCATGAATCCTTGCGTGGGGGACAGGTCGGCTGCAATATCCAGCAACGACGATCAAAAACAAGTTCGGAGACGATGAGTGGAGACTCTCCGCTGTGTTCTGTCCTCCGGAGAAGTGAGTGACTCCACCACAACAGCTGTGCACCCGTTTGGGGGGTGGTGGTTGTGAAACGGAAGAACTCCATTTCCAAAGATATCTTTAGAAGGGCAATTGGGTATCTGCGATAGCGATCAGAGACACCCTCCGCGCCACAGCACCGCAGCTGTATTCCTCAACCACCAAGTCCGCGGAAGGAAGTGAGCTGCCCAGACTCAGCTCCTGAAGAAGCTCCCGCCACGTGGAGTGACACGTCGGACACTGCCCCCGAGCGACTCGCAGCCGTACCCCCCGGGGGAACATTTACAGAGCTGGGGAAGTGATGAAATACCCAAAGGAAGAGCTGCCACGAACGACTCTTGACACGGGGGTAATTGTTGATTTAGTGGGCTCTGTCTCCACGGTGGTGCGAGATGTTAACTCGCCTGGTGTACAGGAGATCGTGGGTGTGATCCCGACCCTGACACCTGTTTATTTGGAGTTAGCGTGTCTCTCGCCACGTGGTCGCGTGGATTTTTCACCGGGTGCTCCGTTTTTTCCCTCCACATTTAGAATCAACATCAGTTTAGAGTATTTGGCTGCTATACATTTCCACACGATAAGCCACACAGTAGAGCTGTCATTTGTGGCCAGGTGGCTTCTGGAATAGAGCTATGTAGCTCAGTGGGCCTCACCTGGTAAAATAAAAAAATGGTTTAGTTTAAAAAATAATATTATAATTCGATTGTATGGTTCGAGTGCTTGAGTCGCTCATAGAACTTGGCAAAAATATTTTGATCAACTCAGCCTATTATGCGTCCAGGGTCGACAACGCCAATACTACTTTGCGAAAAGTCACCAGTAGTCATCCTGAGAGACTGCTGGACACACACCGTGGAATTGGCGTCTCATCGAAACCGGCCCACAATGTTGCTTGTCTTGAATCAATGCTGCTGAAATTATGAACTCTCAAAAAGGTCCCGTGCATGGGTTGTGTAAGAAATACTTTATTTGATATTTGTTTAATGTATGTGCAGATATAGGTATCTAAAGTAGAAACATGATTGTCCTCTTATTCATATTCTCATTTATATTCTATACAAGCTGACGCTATTAATTATTTTGAAACTGCAAAACAACAAAAAAACAGGGGGCCCCGCATTCACTGTTCGTGAGTTTGGTGGTGGGGGGGGTTAATCATTGACCTCGTCGTCTCCATACTAAGCAAATAACCCGGTGGATTGTTGATGATTAACCGTCATTTGCTGGAGGTCAGCGACTTTACCGGGTGGGGGAGGGGGGGGCAGAACGGTCTGGACCCTCAGCAGCTGATCCACTGCCATGGGACACACAATAATAATCCCGCCGGTGCCCACGCATTGCGCGTGACCTTCCTGAATTAAACGCCCATCTCTCGTGATCGGAACGGGCGGACCAGCCTCTATCTCACTCGTGGGCATCAGATTGCACCCCACACCCACCGTGTGTTTTTGTTTACCACGGATGTGATCGTGAACAAAATTAAGATAATAAAACCCACCATGATGTAACTTTGACCACCGATTGAACTATCGACTTCACGATACGAGAGCGAAAGCCACAAACGCTCACACTTTGGGGTCATTTCAGCAGAAATTGACATCGTGTGCGGGAACAAAAACATCAGCTGGTGTAAGCAAATATTGGTTCTCCCGGAATATTTGTATCCCCGGTAACACATATCCAGCGATTATCTGTATCGCTTAGGGTGAAAACACATCACTTACACTGGTTAGGAAAAATTATTCGGACAAAAGAGATGGTATGAAAATGCTAAGCTATAGTGAACGCATAATGAGCAACTGTTTAACATATGATTTTGGAAAGTAGTCTCAAAGTTAAGGGTTTCGTAGAAAATTATTGTATACAGTATAAACATGCTTTATATTACTTTGTGACGGATTACAAATGATCACAAGGTGAGCCAATACTTCCAAAAATGTGTTGCTTGATGGATTAAAAGTCAATACCCGGGGGAAAAAGCCAATTATTTGAGGGTGTACATAATCTATAGAACGACAAAAAGGATGGCACAGAACGACTTCTGTGGTCACTTAAATTGGCCCCTCTTACTAAACACAAGACGGCACTCCACGTTCTGTAAAATGGTCAAGCGTCAAAATGATTGAATGAAGGTATGGGCTCTCACCGCTGGGCTAGGTGAGAATCAAATACATCGATGGTGACTAGATTGAGACGATGCACTTGCTGCACTGGAGAAGCTGTGGTGTAAAGGCGCCGTGGCGGCCCCGTGATTATCTTATCCCAGAAATCTCATCGCTTCTGGCTCGGCGCACCCCAAATCTGTCAGTCAGAGCTGGCAGGACGATGAGTTGGGCGCGCTGATCAATCGACTACCATTATAAGCCACTACTTTTTTGTGGTCGTACTTTAGGCATCTTTAAAGCCCT